TGAATGAAGCATTAGATTGGAAGTAATAAGGTTGTGCCTGACTTACTTCAGCATTTGCAGCAGATGTTACAAATGTCATAAACATGAACCTCTGGGATCAGACTGGGGAGGGGACATTAAGGCAACAGATTTAGGCCCTTTTGCTTTACAAGTTAGTATAGTCTGACAATATATAACAGTTCTCTGGCATTCACTCCTTCCCAGGATATAATCTGAAACACTAACAATTTGTGTAGCTGTCATTCTTAAGGTTTGTTTTGTGTTATATTGTTTTACTTACTAGAGAACTGTCAAACCTAGTTAGGAAACAGAGATAGTAGAACATTTATTCTAATTTATTCTAATTTACTGTTTCAATTTAATTAAAACGAAATACTCCAAAACATTACTTGTCCAGTGCGGAGCTCTGAAAGGCTCCATTCTGGTGGATCCTTTATTGTTTCTCTTATTCAGAAACAAAACCTTAGGCATGCTAAAGTGGGAGGAGAAGCATAACATTGTGGCCCAATCAAGGTAGCTTTCTGATCCAATATATTGTGTTCCATTGTAAAGTATCTAGCAGTTGCTTTGTATTAGTTCTAACTTGTAACCATCTTTAACATATTTACTGAATAATTGTTAACAACATGAATGTGACAGAAAAAAGAATTGCTATACAAATTGCAGTAGTTGTCAAACTCTTTTGAATCTAGGGATGCCAGGCTTTTTGCCTCATTGTCCATTGGCAATGGGGGGGGGATGCGCTCTGGTGTGCTTACGTCGCTTCTGGTAAAAACCATAGAGTTTTTTGCAAAATGCTAGTGTGTCCGTTGTGTCACTTTCAGTTTTTACCAGAAGTGATGTAAGCACACCAGAGCGCATCCCCCCCCCATTGCCAATGGACAATGAGGCAAAAAGCACCAGGCACTGCCCCAGATTTTCTCTTCGTGGTTGCCAGCTGTGGCCTGGAAACCATATTTGAATCAATGGCTATGGGAGTTAGCAACTTTAAAAATACTGTTATTTGCTGTTTTTAATCAAGTTTTTCCTGGTTAAAAACTGGGGGGAGGGGACTATTAGCATACTAGGGAAAATTATTAAAGATGGGTAATAGGTTTTCAGTAGTCTGCTAATTTAATTTAATTTAATTTGTTTGTTATATGGCACTGCCCATATAATTTATAAACATATATAACTACCCATATATTTTCCAGTAACGTAGCTCATTCTTAAAGAAGAAATCTAACAAGAATCTATATAGACAAGCAAAGGGTGTTCAGCAAATGAATATATTAAATTTCTGCCATCTTTATATTTTATGTGTACAACTGAATATGCATATAAGAGCAAATTAATTTTAATCCATAGGATTGTCATATATATTGGTATAAAATACTGTCTTAAATTTAGACTAATTATAGTTTCTTTTCTTTTTGGAGGAGGGATTGGTTTAATGTTTGTATATGTGAGACAACCTCAATGTTAATTGGATTGGGGGGGATCAGCTTTTACCCTATAGGAGGGTTTCAGGAAGCTTCTTCATGACCCCATATCCTGAGAATCAGTCCTGAGTCTAATAGCCAAAATAGCCTGGCTGATGTTAACTACAGTTAAGGATTTCATTCTTGTTGCTTTACCCTTGGGGCTGCTGCAAGAGTAGACACAGAGGACAACAGGGCCAGGAAGTACCATCATCTACTCCTGCCCCATAAAAGTATTAAATGTTGCAGTGATTTTCAGGTATCAAAGTACCTCTACAAACTTTCAATGCATCTGAAAATAATTCTAGATAATTTTTCAAGTGGCAGAAAGCTGTGGCTTTTCTTCTTTAGTAAATGAGAATGATAATTAATACACACAGTTCTTAACAGTAATTATAACTGAATTAACTTTAGCTTTTACTGAGTTGAAAATCCAGTGCTGTTGTATCAAAAGAGCAAAAGCTTCCGTCAACATGCATTCAGTTCCCACAAGCAATGAAAAAGAGAGGTCAAAGTTAAAGAAGAAAGGATTTCTTTACTGTTTGTTTAGGTTTGCTTATGGGGGACTTAATTAATGATGAAAGGTCTCAAATAGGGCAGACAGGCCATTCATTTTGTACTCTGTGGCAACCTTATTTAATTTAATATGCTGTGAAGTTGTGTTGTACTTCACCAAATGCCTTGAAATTGCAGAAATTAATTTATCTTTGGGGAAATGAGTGATGGAAGCAGGGAAGAGCAAAATTATTTAAGATCAGAAATGTGGAAATCACCTTCTGGAGCAAAGACACAAAATAAAAAGAATTACTTTGAGACTAGATGCTACTGTGGCATTTCTGTTCAGTTCCTGGGTGAAATGAGTGATTATGACATTACATTCCCCCCAAAAAAGTATTATTTCAATAAGAGTTCCTGTGCAAAGTAAAGAAATATCAAAAATGCTTCTTTTAGCTGGTTTTATATATGACCTTGATTTTTTTTCTAAGATCAGTTGAAAATGACACAAAGTGTTGGGTTTGGAACATTCACCATCTCTAATTTTTGCTGGGTATCATTTTACTCCAGCAGTAAATTCTTTATTCAGTATAAATAAATAGCACAGTGTTTCCTGCAAAGAAATTACATGTAACATCCATAATATTACACTTATAAACCAATATTCCAAGGCTCCTGTCATTAGGGGTGTCATATCTCTTTGCGTGCATATATCAGATTTGACGTTTGATATCATAGAGCACACTTACAAATCATTGCTCTAAGATTTCTTTTCACTGGATTGATAGATAATCAGACTGATACCAACAAGCCACTCTATACTTTAATAGCCACTTATGGTGGGACAACACATTACATATAATGCTGCTATCCTTCTAACATACTTACAAAAAAAATGAAATGTAGCCACTTTCAAGGAAAAGCAAGAATTGTGGGTGGTGGGAACTTTAACCATATTTTAGCATTTCCTTACTGAAAATCTCTCCAAGGAAAATGCATGGGTACTCATGAACTTTTCATAGCAGGTATGAAGAAGTTGGGTGTCACCTGTTATATTTCAGTCATGGGAATGAAATACATAGTAATGAAGAAAAAGGCTGTTCCGAAATTACACAACACTGCAGTATGAACACTGTATTTTCCCCATAATTTCATGCCTTTAAAGAGTTGGTATTGTTTTTCCTGTGTCAGTTAGGGCTGAATTTTTAGATGTGTGTAGGGCATTTAACCCATCCTTCACCTATTGTTCCCCCCTTCCAGTTGTTTTTACCACAGTCCAAGTCCCAGATCCATGGTTCCATTATAAATATCATTTGGAATCCTTGCTGGAAGAAAGCAACTGACCGTTTTGATAAATTAGTTTGCAAAGTACTTCTTGCATGGGCATTATTATGTGTTCTTATTGAAACTTAAACTTCACTTTTCAAAATATTTCTAGTGGAATAAATTCTGAGTCACAGCTCTTTAAACAATGTAAATAAGGGACCTGCTGTGTGTTTTTAAAGTCTGTTATCTTAATTCCTGGGACTTTAGAACACTTAAAAATGAATTATATAATTCATATTCAAGCCATAGGACACAGGGCTTGCACACATCCCTATAAGGCTCAATAAAGCTCTGTTTCTCCCCAACTTTGTCCTATGCTTGTGCACATGGGTGGTACACAGGATGGTATGGAGAACAGGATATCTGTGGGCATCTGTCTTAGCTTAGAGATGTGAAGGCCCAGAGGAAAAAACCCAGAAACATTCAGAAAAAAGAAACACCCTTTTCCTCCCTGTTTATGCTTCTCCTTCTAGAACAATACCTGATCTTCATGAGGAGAGCATGCAGGGCTCTCTGTGATTTTCAGCTGTTGCATACCTTATGTTGTCCTTTAGACCTGACTCGTTTTTGGCCTTTTCATCTCTCCTTCAAACCCCTGTGACACATATACTAAGAGATTGGTTAAAAAGTAGTTTATTGCCCTACATTGCAGGAGGCAGGAAAAAAGATCAGAAGGAGGTGGAACAGAAACTGCACCAAAACCTTAGAGGAAAATAGAAAATTTCATCAAGAACGTAGCTAACTTGAAACAGATAGCAAAAATTAAGGTACATGTACTAAGATAGCATAGGGCACATCAACTTGGAAGCTTGCAGCTTTCTCTCAAGTATTGTTTATACTTTCAACTATACCTGTACAAAAGTAAGGCACTCATAACTTTTAAATTCCATAAATATGTTAAATATTGCAATTTTATAAGCTAATATATAAATGATACATTTTATGTTGTTGAAACAGTACTTTAGTTTAGGTTTGACAAGATAGTAAGTTTGCATACATTTCATCCCCCTCATTTCTGTTTTTTTCCTGAAAACAAACAAACAACAACAACAGCTCCCCCCCCCCCCCCGGTGGCGTTAAAGTTTCTGGAAATTGTACATCTCTACCTTAGCTACATCTATTATTTTTCTTCCCTTGATTAATTTATTTGAGCTCTGCAACTCATGTAATTTGGGCAAAGGGATATGGGAGGCTTGCACAGCTCTCCTACTTCTCCTAACCTTTCATTTCTGAATTCTAGTGTGGTATACGGGTCAGAGTGTTGGACTTAGATTGGGAAGCCATGCATTCAGATCTCCATAATCATGAAACTGACTTTGGATAGCTCCTGCTCCCCTTCGGCTGAGGAGTAGGTTCCAGAGACTAGCCCTCGGACGATTCTTGACAGTCACTCAGGCCAATCTTCCTCAGAGAGTTGTGTGAGGATAAAATGGAAGAGGGGAGAATTACATACACTGCCCTTAACTCCTTGGAAGGAGAATGGTATTCAAATGTAATCACTTGTAACTGGCATGATACATATCCATGACCCTGAGGGCAGTGGACACACAGGGCTCCATTGAACCCTAGGAGGATGGCCCAAGTGCTTTATGAAACAGTAAAATTTCAAATGTAAGACTGAATAAAATATTTGATTAGTATATACAAAACATTGATCTCAGAGCAGGGATGCATTGTGACAATGTACAGAGATTGCAACATAATTGCTTTTTTATTCAGTTATAGGTGCCCAGCGCAGGAGAAGCCCCAGTGCACTTGCCACTGAAGTATTTGAGTCACATTTGGGAAGTCACATTTTACAGGTAAAAACAATGGCTTTACAAAGCAAAAAAAAAAAAAAAAAGTTCCACATACCTACTAGTAACCAGATCTGAGATTCCTGTCAGTTATTTGGATAGTATGTTTTATTATCACATCGTGTATTCACGAATCCATTTCTTTTCTTTTTAGAAAGCCATGATTGAAAGAATGTTAATGAGAGAGGGAGGGCAAGTATTATTTGTGCTGTAATAATGTAGAGCTCACACAATTTAGTTGCATTGCACTGTGCAGTAGCTGTTGGTTCCCCAAATGACTGTGTGTGTTTGTATAAATGCCTATTTTGTGAACAGATTTTGTGTTTTGGGGATTTTTTTTTTTTGTCTTGTTCACATGTAGGTTTTAATTTCCCCCTCCTATTTAAATACTCAATTACCCTTGTTTTCTCTTTTACTACTGTTTTAATTGTCACTTGAAAATGATATCTATATTCCTCCAGAAATAGCATGTCTTCCAGAATGTAGATACACTAGATCCTCAGTGTGGTGTTTTCCCAGATTTCGTGACACTGTACAGTAGTCACTGGCAAATATCAAAGCATCCTGCATGTGCTTCTGTTTTGTTATGACACAAGATACCAAATTTATATTGAAAATGATATGATCAAAATGGTCACATCTTATGAGTTTATAGAAGATATGATAGGAGTTTTATATATATATATATATATCTACCTTTATATGGTGGTATATATTAATGCACTGAAAATAATTTTAATGTATGCTTTCTTAATCAGTTCATTTTTCATTTATTTAACATTATTTGAATTCATAGAATCATACAATGTTAGAGTTGGAAGGGACCTTGCAGTCATCTAGTCCAACCCCCTGCACTCTGCAGGAGCATAGCCGAAAGAATTTTTAAAACATTCTATTTAAAGTAGATTTCTGTCTTTCCTTTAAATTTCATTATAAAGTGTGGGAAACTATTAGACTCTAACCTTTTAAAAACAGCTAAATATTGAGTGTCAGAGCCTAGATGTCATGGCTACTGTCGGATACAAATGATTGTGTCACCCTCTCAGTGGCAAAATTCATCGGTATAATAATCAAATATGAGAGAAATAATACTGAAGGTCTTTTAAAATATTTTTGGTTCTAATTTCTGCTTAAGGTGATAACCGTATGAGTAGTACTAGACAGACAGACAGATATAGACAGAAAGATAGTGTCAGAGAATTTGATATTCTGCCTTATTACTACCACTAATATCATACTGAATACCTGGTGAGATGTGGCTTTCTATAGGGTAGTATATTTATCAAATTTCTCCAGTTAATCTTTTCCAAAAGTACAATGAGAAAGTTTTAAATTGATGTATAAATGTAGAATGCTAACTGTTCAAAAGGCTGAATGAACTAATGATTGGGTGTAAGTTGCTAATGAGATGACATTGAAAATGCTAGATGTTGCTTTAGCATGCTATACAGCTGGTTGTTTGAAATAAATAAAGCATCAGAAACAATGTCACAATTGTAAACCCTGCAAGAACACAAGCCCCTTTGTATACTACAAGGAACAATCCTGTAGCATCTTAAAGAACAAAGAATATATTGTGGCATAAATGTTTGTACTCCAGAGTCCTACGTAGGCAGGACCTCTCTGTACTCAAGTGTATATATATATATACCTGTTTACTCCAATGGATCTAGTGCAGCTATAGCCTATGAAACTTATGCTACAATGAATTTCTTAGTCTTTAAGGTGTCATAGAACTGTTATTTTATCCCATCCGGGATTCTATACACTATTATACTCAGAGGTCATTTCGGGGGGGGAACGCGGGGGAACACAGTTTCCCCGGGTGAGGTACGGGGGTTGGGGCACATGACGAAGCCCCGCCCCCTGCTTCCGGCCGCCCCGCTTCCGGCCCTCATTCAGCCAGGAGGAGGCAGGAGAAGAGGGAGGGTAAGTTGCTTCCTCCCTGCCTCTCCCCGGACCGTTGGGGGCGGGGTGTGTGGCCTTATGACACATTTCCGGTGATGTCAGGAGGTGTGGCCTTATGACACACTTCCAGTGATGTCAGGGGGTGTGGTATATGGTAATGAGTTATGCTAATGAGTTCCCCTAGCTCTTTTTCTACGAAATGACCCCTGATTATACTTAACTTGTATCACAAGTAAGTGTGAAGGCCCCTTAGGGCAGGGGTCCCCAACATGGTGGCCATGGGTGCCATAGTGCCCTCTGACACCTTTTCTGGCACCCACCAAGGGTTTTTAGGAAGTAGGTGGAGCCAGGTAGGGCTTTTGCCCAGCAAGACTCGTGACTGACTATTGGAGATTTGATTGGCTGTGCAGATTTTTTTAGATATTGCTTTGGCAGCAGCTGCCGACACAGCACAAGGATCTACACTGTGTTACTGAAGTTAAGCTTTGGCAATCATTTTGTGGCTGGCTCTACCTCCAGCGGCAGCCATTTTGTGATAGCCATTTTGTTGCTGTGCCCACCATGCTGTGTCAATTCCAAATGTGTCCACAGTCTCAAAAAGGTTGGGGACCCCACCTTAGAGCATCAGACATCTGTTTGGAAACAGCAGCAGGAGTAGGGTTGCCAACCTCCACATGCAGCCTGGAAATCTCCAGGATTTACAACTGGTCTCCAGACTACAAACAACAATTCACTTGGAGGAAATAGCTGTTTTGGAAGGTACTTTCTATGGCATTATACCCTGCTGAGGTCCCTTACCTCCCCAAACCCCACCCTCCCCAGGCATCATTCCCAAATCTCCAGGAAATTCCCAAGCTGGAGCTGGCAACCCTAAATAGGAGTGAAGCAGAAATCTGGCAAATTCCATTCCTCAACATTGATTATCACACTCCAGAGAGGGACAGCCTTTGAGTATGGATCATTCATCTATTCTCCCTTACTGGAATTCTAACCAAAAGCATTATGTATAGAATTCATAATTATTCCAGAATAGCTTTTCAGAGCTTGAAGATAGTTAGTCTGGACTCTGGAGATGGGACAATTTCCTGTTTTCTCCACATCCTCCCCCCCCCCACCAAATCAGCGAACCCTTGGGTACTCCTGCACAGTATTTTAGGATATTAAAATTGTCCTTACACACAGGGAAATATTAATGAGATTTTTTTTATCTTATCAGATGTTTGGTTTATCAAATATTTTGTTTTCATTCCAAGTTTTGCAATAAAATAGGATAGAGTCTGACTTTGTACATGAGAGGTGCCTCAGTTTTTGTTCGTTTGTTTCGCTGAAGACCAATCACCTTCAAGTATCTATGAACAGGGAAAATTCTTTTTTTGTTTGTTTGTTCTCGTAATCCTTTCACTTTTTGCAGCTTCAATATCTGCAGTATCTAACGTTACAAGAAGTTATAAAACGTGTTTTTTTCCCCTGTCTAAGTACAGGAGGATTCCAGCAAACTTAGTGTGGCACTTTTTGCTCATGTGCTGAAACACTCATGCACTTAAAGAAAAGAGGGGGACGACGACTAAACCAACCAAGCTAAAACCTCCAAAGGATGTTTAGAAAACTTATTGAGGGCCAAAAGTTAAAAACATAAATACATAATTTGTTTTTAACTTTTGGCACTCATGCACTTGTACAGACAGAAAAAAATAAAAGAATATAAATATTGAGTTTACAGCAAGCAAAGTAGAAGGACATGGAGAAATTCCAAAACGACTGTTACGGACTTTGTAATTGTGAGGGGGAACGGAACTGGAGAGCAACCTAGAGTAAAGTAGAAACTACGGAAGGATATTGGAGCAGAACAGGAAGAATCCACTTGTTTAGGAATAGTAACCCATTGAATGGGAAGGCACTGGGCTGGATTTGTTCCCACTCCTGACCAGCTTAATTAATGAGTCTGCAGCTGTCCCTGCTCCCCTCAGAGACAATTGTCCCTAGTACAGAATGCAAGATTTACCCAGCAGCTGGCTTTTGTGAGCAGATACTTCTGCCTGCCCACAGATACATGATCTCAGATGTGTTGAGTGTGTGCTTCACATGCTTTTTCAAAACTCAAAACTTTATTTTCCCTGCATATTATTTCACGCATGGACTGTTAGGTTCTTGGTGGTATGCAGAAGCCTCCCATAATGGCACTACTGATGAATGCATTTGCAAACCTTGGCAGAGAGGGGATCTTTCATGTGTAGGCACTGGATCTGTGGCAGAGTGGATCAACCTGTTTTTGGGGAGGAGCAGGGTTCTCATAATACTCTCACTGAAGGTCATTCTTAGATTAATAGGTGATTTATTATTTCCATTTTATGCTAATATTTTTCAAATCTGTCTTATTCAGAAATTAAGATATTCTCTTATTACAGTAATATTATGAATTTACTGCCAGCCACTTGATTGAGCTACTCTAATAAACCAGCACCTTGTAATATTTAAATCTAGATCCTCCATGCCAAATCGTTGCAAGACAATGTCAAAAACCAAAAAGACAATCCCAAAAACCAAGTTTTTGGCCACAGGCTCAGAAACATTATAAGAAAGCAAACTTTAATATTTTGTGAAACTGATAAATATAGTAGAAATCTTTTTAGGAATGACTTCTAATTAACTGTAATCTATGCCAATAATCTCTAATGTGGTACCTATGGGCACCTAGGCACCCAAAAATGTGTTTCTTGCTGCCCCAGGCATCTTTTTTCTTCAAACTTTTTCAGTTTGTCAAACTTGTTCTGCTAAACTTGTCTTACACTATTTTTTTGTCATTTGCTGGAATTCCCTGGTTATGTATGGGGGGGAAATATTCTCAATTTATTCTCCCCCCCATTATATGTATTAAAATTGCTTCTTTTACTGGATTATTCTATTTGAATCTGAATTTAAATGTCAGTATGGAGACAGGCAACCTTCACGGGACTTTTCTACTTCTTGCAGCTTCATAGCTACTAAGACAGTGATTGACCCATCTTTTTTATATAATCAAGAATGACCACAAAATATTAGGATTAAAAACAGGGAAAAGTAAAAATTAGATAATGCATTTGCATATGCAAATTAGCTTA